AGCAGCACCACCAGCAGCAGCACCAGCAGCAGCACCAGCACCAGCACCAGCACCACCAGCAGCACCAGCAGCACCAGCAGCACCAGCAGCACCAGCAGCACCAGCAGCACCAGCACCAGCACCAGCAGCACAACCAGCACAACCAGCACAACCAGCGGCAGCAGCAGCCGCGGCACCGGCACCGGCACCGGCACCGGCACCGGGCACCGGGCACCCAGCACCAGCACCAGCACCAGCATCACGACAACCATAGCAACAACAATGACAGCGACAACAGCACCGACAACAGTAGCAACATACAGCAGCATCTACGTAACACGCTAAACAACAATTGCAAGTCCAATAAGAAGAACACAATATGTTCGTTAACAGCAAAGACAACAGCAACAACAGAAGCATCAGCCGAAGCAAAGGCGGCAGCAGCAGCAACCACAACAACAGCACTCACCTTTATAGCGCGTGAACCGACCAAGGAACAAACGGTCCTCACGGAATCTCGAAAACATTTCTGCAAGAAATGCGAGATATCGTTTTGCAGGATTTCCCATGAAGTCAATCTCGCAGAATTCGCCACCATTGTGAAAGTTGGATAAAGACAGTGTTCTCAGGGATGTATGAACTATCGCGCGGTTTGGTTGGTTTGCTCAGGCCACAAACAACAAACAAATACCGCAGCAGCAGCAGCAGCAGCAGCAGCAGCAGCGGCGGCAAAAGCAGCAGCAGCGCCAACCAGCGGCGACAGCAGCGGCAAAACGCCGACAGCAAGAGCGGGCAGCGGCTGCGGCACAGCAGCACCATCTCCAGGGTCTGCTGAATTCTGGTTTCTCTGTTGAGCGGCTACGAAAACACAGCACTGCTTTTGCCCTGCAGTATGGAAGTCGAGGCGTTTCCAGCCATGGAGCATGCGCGGGACCTGTACGCCCTTTTCACGGATCACTGCTATGGGGAGGGCCTCATGGATTCCAGCAGCTGGGCTCTTTCACGTCCACCAGTTCAGGGGAGTGGATTGGTCGGTGTTGTACGCTGCCACAGCGATATTAGTACACTATGGACAAAGAGAATGAGGCAGCTGGAATGTGACGGACATTCTGAGGTGAGGACGTCGGCATCCTCTTTCAGTCGTGGGATGGCACAGCCAAAGCGGAGCTTTGCCAATTTCCGCTGACGAACCCCACGTTTTTCTTCATGGCCCCTGGGTCGCACGTAAGCTGCTCGTTCATCTGTGCCTGCCGCTTTCAACTTTCGACTTGTCCTTACGAGGTGATTCTGATTTGGACCTTTTTCTTAGGGCACGAGCTCAAGCAGACGGACTCTTGACCGCTACACTGCCAGCTGTGAGCAGCATCTCCTGCATGCGAATGATCGCCCTGCAACCCTAAACCTCAACAGGTCTACTTCTTCTGGCACACTCTTCGGCTTCATCGGCCGACTGAGGGCTGCGTGCATCTCGGCCCCACGTGCAGGCACTGCTGTTGTTATTGCAACTGCCATGCTCCATGTTCGCTTGTCGCGAATAGATGTTTGAAAAGCTATCGTTGATCAGCATAGCAATATAGTTGCTCATCTCGAGCACTTGTTCCACTACCATACCCTGGATTCAGCTCAGGTGCATTGTCGATCATCAGGACCAGAACCAGTTTGTCATCACGCACATGCACCTGAGACCGAATCGGACTTCGTGTCATGCACCCGGCAAAGCCGGCTGAGCCAATGGCTTCCTAGTCACGTTAAGGAGTGGACTTCTGAAGTTCTGGATAGCACTCATCGTGTTTCTCCCCAAGTTCATCATCGCGATTGTACTGTGGTACATAGGCCAGCTCGATTTGGCCTTGTCCAGCTGACAGTTCGTGTCATAGAGCAGCAGCATGCTTATGCATCTATGCGGTCTTTTCACAGAAAGCCCCCATGCAACACTGTCTTGAATTTCCTCAGCTGTTCACCATGTTGTCTCTTGCAGGTGCGCGTTGGTTGACAGCCACGCCTGGTGTGGACAACCTCATGCTGAACTCGTTGGCGCTCACATTTATTTGTGAGCTGCTGGGCTCGTTGCGATGAGTCGATTTTGGGTTTTCTCTAGTTACTCTACTTGCCCTCGGTCTTCTGTTTCGAGGCTGGACGAGCTGATCTTTCGTACGTGCACCTCCGAGAACATCAAGGCACACTGTCACATTTTGCATTTCTCGGCTGTCAGGCAGGCTGCTTGTCATTAACAAAATCACCCCAAACTGAGGCTCGTATCAGTATCATTTTTGCTTGGTAGGCTTGCCTGGAGCGGACGAAGCTTCCAATGGCCCCACTGCCAGCGGGACCTTCAAAGGCAGGTGCGATTGAGAGCCCTAGCTAATTACTCGACCGATGCCTCAATTTTAAGTCAATCCGCGCGGCATGGCCTGGCATGGTGCAATTCTGCAGCAAGGACCGCAGTCACGGTCGTCGGCTGCTTTGCCTTGGCCTTCCTGCCACGCGGTCAAGTGGGTGGTAGACGCACATGCTCGTCCTTAAACTTTCAAGGCTTTCGTAGCTCTAGTATGTAGTTTGCTTTGTGCCTTGTTCTGTTTCGGGGAAGCATCTTGAACTGATGGGGCCGCAGCCGAGGTATCTGACACACTTCCAGACAGCAGCCTTTATGCAATGGAACAGATTGTGCGCATTAGATTTAAACGGAGCGCGGTGACTGCGTTCTTTTGTTAAGAGGCAAGAACTGAAGCGCTATCAGAGTTCACCATGAAACCCAACCGACACCTTTGCCTTTCAGTTCTAGTGACTCTAGTCGCTAGTCCCTCGAGATTCCTCCTGCTTTTGCTTGCAATCTCTGTGCTTTCGAAGACTGCGTGCCGTGAAACTGAGGCAATCCCAGAGTATCGCTGGGATCTTGCTGGACTTTGCCGCATCTCGACTATAAAACTATAAAGGCGGCGTAGAAGCTTTCGGTCGCAACTGGAGTGTCTTGAGATCAAGATCTTTCAGGTGGTCACCACCGAACGGTCCTGAATCTGATATCAGGGCACCACGGAAAGCGGTGACTCAGACACACAGACTCCAAGCAAAGATGGCTGAGCACAGCCAAAGATGTTTCGTGCTGAAGGCACTGCATGTTCTTGCAGCGACGGTCGCTCACCGGCTGCGGCCGACTGTAAATACCAGTAGAAGGCGTTTCGACAACCCTTTCTTTTGCATGTGGGTAACAGCATGCGAGGCTTGTGAAACATGCGCAAGCTCGCAGCGCACGCGATAGTAGAGGAGCTGATCCTTGACGCCGCTCCGCTCTGCGAAGATTCATGTAGGCGTATTTCTGCTGCTATGCTAGAAGCTGCTAGAAAGCTACGTAAATGTGCATTCGGGAAGTTTGCCTGGATAAATGTGTGTGTGTGTGTACGCGTGGACTGTATATGAGCACCACCAGACGAATCCATGTGAACAAGCACTTGAGCAAGTATTATGTGCATATAGAGGAGTTTCAGGAGTTGCTCTTAATTTATACTCTCTACGAGCCGCTCATCTGGATTACTCAAAGGATGAACATGAAGCCAGAACACTCCAAGGCCAAGCCTTTGCGTACATCATTGCTCCAAGTTGTGGGCCTTGCTAAATGTGCAAGATTGAAGATTCAAGAGGACTCGATAATGGCGACTTGACTGACTTGACTGACCCTGACATTTAGCGTTTTTGCCCACTTCAAATCTGTTGAGCTGGTGCATCCTGCGACGCAGCCGGTAGACATGTCCGGCTGTGCCTCAGGGCAGGTTGTCATAATTGTTTGTATCTGGGCGCAGAGATTCTGGAGCTCAGATTCCTGCAGCCACATGAGCTGCCACGGGGCGAGTGTGAATGCGACATCTTAAACACAAGGATTTTTCATGCCATACCTGTCATAGACATTCTGCAGAGTCAAGTTGCCAAGCTCCTCAGGTTGTGACAGAACTTGGGGCCTTCGTGGGCTATTCTGCCGTGCGGTTCAGCAGCGAGCTGCGGAGGCACACGCACACGGTCCCAGAGTGTTGTGCTTTACGAGATCATGTGCATCTTGCGAGCTGGGTGAAGCGAAATCTCGAGCAGTTGTAAGGATGTACACTGACACAGGGGGGACAGGAGGCTTTGTGAAACAAGTTGCCATTGCCTTCAGCCATTTTCCGACGGGCAACTAGGTGCCCGGGACAGAGCTCCTTGCGCCTGACCTCTTTGGAGGCTGGTCGAGCAATGCGATGCTATGCAGTCAACAGCCCCATGCGTCTGGCAGGTGAATCCGCTGCACGTCTCTGTGGCCCGCTTTCTGCTGGACATCGCTGGCCTCTCCCAGGTCGCAGAGGTCCCCGGCCCCAGACCCCGCGAATCCCTGAGTCCCTGAGCTGCGCTGAACGTTTGAGTCTGCAAGGTCCGACCAGGCCAAGTCAAGGTCAGGGCCCTGTACACGTGGTCGTTACTACGCCCTTTGCTTCGAGAGCTCACGTTGCGATCGCATCTCGGTATCACTCAGGATGTGGTGCCGCAGCTGGTGGAAGAGCTTGGCTTCCACAGCACAGGCCCTCTCAATGACTGGACATGGAGGTTTTGCGATGACGAACCAGCAACGACGGCATGGAGCTGTGGGCGACGACAGGAGTTTGCTTCATGGACCATCGTGGGACGATCTTCCATCAGGCTACCGAGAAGTGCCTTATTGTGCCGTGCTGGCTGAATCTCAACCGGTGCCGGCGTGCAGGACTTCAACCTGCTCCTGAGTCACGGGGTCTTGGGTGCCGAGGCTCTTGATGTCAGGTGGGCCAGCATGGGGCATGTGCTGCACTCCTTCAAGGCACAGCTCGTGGCCGACAACACGCTGAATCCTGGGGCGCCTCTCTTCCTCTGGGACTGTGCCTTTTTGTCCGCTGTCTGCTATCAGCCGCAGGCAATTGTTGAGACCCGACTGGCCCCCATTTCCCTGCAGACCTTCGCACCTCCGCAACCTTTTAGGGCTGCAGGCGGCAACATGTGTATCGAATTGTTTCTGCAGGAACGCTTCCACGGGCATCACCGTGGGCGACTCCTTTCAACCACATGCTGGTCTCTGACAGAGCTGCGTCCTTTCTGTTGCACCTGCATGTGCACGACATTGGCTGCTTGATGCTGACAGCTCTCTGTCAACAAGTGCGCTTGTTGCTTTTTTGAGGTTCCTAGCAGAGCACGAAGATTGGACGTCCACTTCTGTTTGCGCCCCGGGAAAGAACCAAAACGGGATGGGAGTTTGTGCGGTCGACTGAGCACCGTTCTCTCATGCTCCGATCATTGTTGTCCTTCGCTGATCCCTCCGTCCGAGGGATTGCATTGATGCTGCATGTGGTGGTAGATATCAGTCATCATGTGCACTGAGGAATGGAGACCTGCCCCGACAGAAAGACAACTTGGATAGCTGAGCAATCCGGAAAAGCCGCCATGCTTGCCATCAGCTGGAAGACCTAATTCTGAAAGGCAGTGCTTGTTCCAACTTTCCTGCAATCTGCTGCGCATCCTGCATCTGATGCTGCGCGAAGACTCCAAGCCAGCAGCAAATTCTTCGACACCGCTGGCCTCCACTTTCCCACTCGCGGGGTAGCACATGCTGGCAATCTTTACTGCAAGTATGATGACTGACAGATTCGTGAACTCATGTCAAGGCATGACCACCCGCCCGAGCACCTGTGTGTGGTTGGACGAGGGTCTTACTGTAGGACACAGTCGGAGCTTCTAGGCATTCAAAGGGCTACCAAGCAGAGTTCGACCTGCCCACAAGGGTGCAGCAATGGCTGGCTCCGGTGGGTCCTACTGGTCCACGCTTAGTCAGGACTGCCTCTGAAGAGTGTGAGTCAAACTGAGCGCATGGATCTTCTGAAGTGCATGCTCGGTGTGCTGCTTCTGATCTCTTTTGTCCTGACCGCTGATTGTTGTTCGGTGCTTGTGGCAGCTTGACGGGATCGTGCCTACACAGGATCCGTCTTGGGCATGGCTGAGTCGCGAGGATGAACAGGGTCCTGCAAAGGGATGATGGTTCTTGCGGCATTCGGTAGTGTGCCTGCCATGATGCCATCATCGTCGTTTGGGAACCGAGCGGCTTGCGACTGGCACCAAGTTGTCAGGATTCTCGACCAGTGCAGGGAACCGAAGATGAGACTCAGGCGCGCAGAATTCCTTTCGAAGACCATTTCAAGCCGTGACGAGAAGTGACAGCTTGTGATCCAACCCGCGAAAGGTCCCCACGGTGTGTGTCGGCATACGTAGACTTGTTTTGAATCTGTTTAGTTGGGCAATTCACTGACAGGTGCCATTCGCATCCAAACTGCAGTTTTGTCACATGTGTTGGCCACGGGCTCAAGCAAAGGTTTACATCCGAGGCTCTAAAGAGGTCCCGGTTTGCCGCAGAGCAATGAGCGTGACCGCAGCACCCGAGGAGGCGCGTGTTCCCGGGGCATTTGGTCCGGTCTGGAAGCAAAGTCCACGGCCGGCATGTGCAAGGCAGTGCAGGAGAAACTTGGCATGGGCAGCCGGCCAGAGGATCCCGATGTCTGCACTGTAACGTGTTGCTGCTCTGAGAAGCCGCTGATATGTACTAGCTTCATGTATCTGCGATGTGGAGGAATCTACTGACGACAGTGACACTGACCTGCCTGAGCTTTACGATGCGACCAGTGACAGCGGCAGCGGAAGTCCAACCGTGAAGGACCGACAGGAAGCTTAAACCCCACTACCTGTACCAGTCACAATACCATTCGTACATTCCACACTAAGCTCACTGCTTGCCTCTCTGCGGGCGGTGTGCTGGGTAGACTTCCTTGTGCCAGGAGCCAGAACTGCAAAAGCCAGAGCCGGCAGAGGCAGGACGTCAAAAGTGAAGTGCCGGAGTCGATATCAACGAAGCCCCAAAGCCATCTCTCAGCAACTGAAGGCACAGGAGGTCCTCAGACGCTATGCAGCAAAGTTTGGCGAATCTCGGGACGGCGAAGCCCAGGGCTTCTCGCTCTTGAAAAGGCAGAAGATGGCAAACAAGGTCAAAGCCAGTCGCCGCGAAGGAGCCAAGACGAGGACAGCGTAGCTCGCACAATGCTCTGCTGCGCTCCAAGGCTTCAACCGCCGGGCCTTCCCGTGGTACTCTGGCGAGTCCTACAACGAGAAAGGCGAGGTGGCCATGGAGGAGCTCGAGGCTCCGAGCCTTGCGGCCTTGCACTTCGCCTTCACCTCAGGGCCCCTTAAGTGTCGCTTCCAGCGAGGCCGCACTCAAGAAGCGCGCGCAAAAGGCGAAGCGCCAGGCGGGCCTGTAGCTACATTGGAACATTGAGATCACAAGAGTTGTTCTCGTTTTAACTCTGGGCCAGTTTAATGGGCATGCTTGTGCCGTGTCCTTGTTATGACGCAGCGCTCGCAGTGTGCACTCGAGGCGAAGCTGTGGGACGTGGACTCCGAGGGCGAGCAAGTCACGCTCTGCGCCCACTGCTTGTTGCCAGTTGGGGAGGCCCGAGGTTCGGGGACGCTACACGTCTGATTGCTGATCTTGAGCGTGGGCCGCAGGTTTCCTATAGCGGCCAGCAAGGCAAATCCACACCGTTGCATGGAGAATGTGCAGCTCAACTTATGCTGCAAGAGATGAAAGAGAAGGACGTAAAACGGGTGCAAGACTCTCGGTCGGCAGAAATTTGCAGCGAAAGTGCTTTTTCAAGTGGTTTTCCACAGAACCTCGAGAAGACAAGAGCTGCAGCTCTCCCCATCCCATCTTGATCATGCAAGGACGAGGCCGAGAAGAAAAGGGAGAATCGCTCTGAACATGGCATCGGCTGGACTGTCCAACAGGTCCCGAAGAACACTCTGACAGTGACTTGCCTGGAAGCTAGCCTAGGGCACAGGCCGTAGGGCTTAGGAGGCAAGCAGGGCTTGCGCAGCCCAAGCCTTCTGAGGCTGCAAAGCTCGGGTGCAGCCCACCACAAGGACAGCCTACGCGGCACGTTTGACACGGCACGTAGGCAAGAGTCTGTGAGGGCCCATTAATTAAGTACTGTCGAGGCCTTTGCTGCCTTGTGTGGGACGAGGCGAGGGCACGACAGAGATTCGTGATTCATGTAGTTTGATTCATTCATGGATGTTCTTCCCTCCGATTCAGGCCGCTCGGTCACTGCGCCTTGCCGCCACCGCGGAACCTGCAGCCGCGGTGAACTTGGAGTACCTCCTCTTGGCCCTGAAGGCCAGGACTAGTCATGCGAGCATATGCCAGACATGTCCAACGTCGACCGCTGACCCCGACATCCTCCGATCTGTGTGAGTGATCTTCAGGTTCGCTACCATGCCTGCCGCGAGCCCCTCTTCTCCCTGGACCCCCTGAATCCCGAGACTTGGAGGAAGAGAGCATCAATGAGCATCAGTGGGCAATTTGCGCCTGCAGTCTTTTCAAGCAAAGAAGTGGGTAATTAACAGAATACTTGATGCGGCTTGACGACGCACCAGGTCAGGTGTAATGGGTCACGGAATGACGCAGGGCCGGCTTGGATGGCTTGGGGCGGGAGTGTTGCAGATGATTATTTAATTGGCTGATAATTTCCAAGAAGAGTGCCGTCAAACTCAGGAAAACCTCGAAAAAACCATGCTCGAGAAGCGCTTCACCCCATCCTGGCTTGCCGGCACAAGCATCGGAGAGCTCATGTTTCAGGCAGACTACTACCTGAAGGAATTGTCGATGGGTGAGTCCCTTTGCGGCATCTGAGTCACAACTCGTCTGTGGCACGTCTCGTAGCGACCTGATGTGATCTGCAAGGCACGACATGCCCATGATGGGAATGATGAGTGTCTTCGATTGGTCGGAGGCTGACAACGTGAAGGGTGGATGGACCGGACGCGAGTGGTTCGTGGTGAACCAGGCAGAGGTTCGACTGGCAGGCGACAACACGCTGGTCCCACACGTAAAGATGGGGGTCGAGGCTCGGACCCAGGTGGTTGGAGCAAAAGGCCTCCAGGACACTCCCATCACCAGCAAGAATCATCCTTTGAGGACGGATGCCCAAACTCAGTTCGATGTTGAGTAGTAGTATCCATAGTGCAGTGCATCAAAGACGCAGAAGAGTTACCTGCCAGGAAGTTTGCCGACAACTTCACGAAGCACTTCGATCTCATTGCTGAGCGCCAAAGTGTGATCTTCCACTTGCGAGAGCTTGCCAAGGCATCGGTAATGGCCAAATTCATTGTGGATTCGGGCACTACTGTCCCACCCGAGTGGTGGAGACTGGCTGATGAACTTGTCAGTGCGGCGAGTGCAAAGACGACTGCCAAGCAAATTCCACAACTCTGGAACATGCGGGGTCAATCTCGCATTCAAGTCCGGGACGGAAAAATGCTGAATTCAGCCACCGGGCAGTGGAGCTACTTGACCAGCATCTATGGGGGCATCGAGTTCCAGCTGGACCGCTTTGAGTTGGCACAGCGCCACACTTTGCGACCTGTCGGGCCGGGGGCCTCCACAATGGTGGGCGGTTTGCAGGGAATGCAGCTTGGGCCAAGTGCCGGCCGACCGGGCTTCGCCCCTGCGCGCTTCCAGCTGACGCAGCGGGCCCCGGCGCCGGCGCCGCAAGCGGAGCAGCCGCAGGGCGTGGACCTGAACCTGGATGGCTTCGACTTGACGAATCCGGATCGCTTCCGTTTGGGTGTGGCCAGCTGCAGCGCCTCTCCGGACTCCTTGGAGGCTCGGGTCCCACTCGGCCAGGCTTTCCTGGATGGCGTGAGGCAGTCGTCTGCACAGTCTGCACCCTTCAAGCCGGAAGATCGACATTTCCTCCGCAACCTCTACAAAGACCAGCTCACAGACCGGACTCAGGAGGGCGATGCCTTTGTTCCGCCAGATCCAGACATGAAGTACGTGAACAAGATCCGGGCTCTGGTCTCAGAGGAGGAGATCCTTCGAGGAAAGCGAGTGTCACTCTTCTCTGATGCAGCCTTCATCCCGGAGAATCCTGGGCCTGCTTTCCCAAGATCTTGGACATCAAACTTCCAAGTGGAGCACCAGGGCATGTCCACCGGACTTGTGAAGAAGGCTCTCAGGTCAGGCATGGTGCAGTTGGCCCTGAACCCGACCTTCAAGAAGCTCATCACAACCGAGATGCTGCCAAGCACTGCCCCGGTCTTCGAGAAGAGCTCCGAAGATGGCGCCTGTTTCCGAATCTACCGCATCGGCTCTTTGGAGATCCGCACGGTCCAGGACGAAACAGGGATCTCTCTGCACCTGGGTGGGAAATGTGTAGGGTAGGACGTCCTGAAGCAGCAATGCGAGGAGCCCGAATCACCGGAGATCGTAAAGGTGGTTTTCTCCTTCCGTGGAACCAAGTGGACAGCACTGCCTGGAAAGGCTCAGGCACATCGTGATGCATCGTCCTGTCCACATGAACTCAGGGTGTTCGCACGTGCTACCTGACCGGCTTGTTGTCGCTGTGCAGGTCGCAGACTCCGAAAAGATCGTACGGGCCAGGATGCCTGCCGGCTGCACGTACGTCCGACCACTTGTCATTCAGTTGAGTCTCAGAAGATCTCAGCACAGGTTCGTGGAGGCAGTGGATACGGTCGGCGACCTGGCAAGGCCACAGTTGCGAGGTAATTAAGCGGATGAGCTTCGGCTTTGTGCTTCGCCCACCGTTTTGCGTAGCGACCGGAGGTCGATCCATGGCAAGGCTGCCGAGCCCACTCAGCTTCTGGATGCGCCATGGCGGAGCCAAAAGTTGGCTCGGAACTTGGCAGTCGCATTCGGCGGGAGCGAGACTGGCAGGAAAATACTTCCTCGGGCTTGCCCAGGATCATTGCCACTACTTCATTGTGCTTGAAACGGACAAGGAGAACATGCTGGTGACGGAGAAGTGCTTGGATGGAACTGTTTCATTGGTCGTGAACCCAGCCTCTGGGCAGAATGCTATGAACTGTTGTGCCATACGTGTGGGCTTACATGAACTCAACCGCATCATAAACAAATCCGTTTGCTGCCACCTCCACTTCCAAGGAGAATGCTGAAGATCGCATGTCCCTGGCCAGACTTCTTTACACTCACGAGGGCAAGGACCGGCTTGCGTTGCTGGTCTTGAAGGCTTTTCATGCAGCAGAAGTTCAAAGCACTTACTTAGACTTGAGGCTGTACTAAGCCAGTCAGTCTGCAGCACGACAGCGAGACTGTCTTTATTCTTGCGGGGGCTTTGGAAATTCCCAGTGCCAGGAAGGATCTGCCTCCGTGCGAGAGGTGAAGGTTTTCCAGGCTTCCAGTGCAAAGCAGACACCTGACGGGGCTACAGCTTCAGACAACAAGCTGTACGTTGCTCGGTCGCAAGTCGACGAGTCGACTAGCATTGCATGACTCAAACCAGCAGTTGTCGGTTTCATCAAGGCAGATTTCTGCCTTTCTCGTGCGCTTCCTTGAAACCTTCAGGCCCGGAATTTGTACAAGCTGGCCTCCGGCAAGGCTGGTTGGCATGAATTTAAGAAGATATCATCACGAAGTAACTGGGACTTGCAAGGCGTGGCTGGTGCGAAAGGCCAAAGGTGCCGGAACCGTGGCGGCATTTGTCAGTTTGGATCGGAGCAGCCCATTCTCAGAGAGCATTTTCTGCAGACCAGCACCGCGAAACGACCTGCAAAGTGCTGCGAAGCTGCAGGAAAGGGTCGCAAGCCAGTGGCCGATGGCGAATCTGTGCCTCGGCTACTCTTTAGAGTACTTCAGAGGTCATTGGACGGCAAAGCGAGTCATGCTGGGCCATTCCGAGCTCTCAGGTGCCGCCCGCTGCCGTGCCGAGCTCTGAGAGGCGGTTCTTGCAGAGAGTTGTAGGACCGTTGAGCGTTTTGTTTTCGCTTCTCGAAGCGCCAGGCGGACGTACAGCAGCAAGGTCAAGTATGACTTCCAGCGCTAAGGCCGGCGGGGCCTCGAGCACTGGGATTGAACAGGCTGTCAGACGCTTGAAGCCAGCTCCAGGTTGCAGATGCGAAATGAGCTGCGTGGCCGAGTAGACAGGTGTGGGAGGCTTTCACGAATGCTGGCCCAAGCGGGATTTGCCAGCGCTTACACAGCTGCTGGATCTTCTGTGCATCTTCCTTTCCATGACGCAGGGATCTCGTGCGTCCAAAAAAGGAAACAGGAAGGGCTCGAGCCAAGAGCTGTAGTTCACCTCTGCCAACCCAGCTGGCTGTACAGAAGTCGGTTGACCGGAACCTTTCAGGGTCTCCTTGCTTATGCGAACTACGCGAAACAGAGTCGTCCTCTCAGATGCAATCGCAGTAGGGCAGGGAATCTACCGAACGCCACTATCTCCCAGGCATGAAGGGCGTTGCAGAGCGAGCAGGAGGTGCCGTCGGCGGCCATGTAGGATTCGCCATGCAGGTGCGGTAGCAGCCCATGAACAGCAGACCACGTGAATGGTGTCAGCTCGCAGGCAGCCACCATCAGCACTCAGGCGAAGCTTGGCTTCACAAGCAATGGTTGAACAATTTTGCTTTGCCTTGCATCCTTCTGGCTCGTTCAGATTCTTAGCTCGCTGCATCGGGAAAGACCTGGAGTGCTATCGCTGCTGCGCATTTCGAGCAAAGAACAGCAAGGAGGAACATGTCTGTCGCGACTGCCACGATAACATGATTTGCTCTCGAGCTCCGATTGATTGCTCGCCAAGGTGGGTCAGCTTCTTTGTGCTGCTGGCACTTGGCAGCCTTCTCATGGCCCTGTGCTCACTTCAGAAGCCTGCGCGCCTGGCTACATGATTGTGTGCACTTGAGGCTGCTTCCTTCGCTTCCTTGCCCATGCTAGTTCTGGCCCCACAGAAGCCTGTTCCCGAGTGGTTCATCAGCTTATGTGCAGAAGTGTGAGAGTCAGAGAGACTCAGAGCATGAGGTTTGCGACGGTTTTCACTACGGGCTCCGCCTGCATTCTCGGGGCTTTATGCTCTCTCAAGGCATCTCCTGTCGTACACGCTTTAGAAGGGCGGCCTGCAGCCTCCGTTTCGGCAGGGTGTGCAGAGCTTTGTCGCACACCTCACCTCCAGAGAGAGGTTGCCGCTCTCTGTGGGGCCTGGGCCTCGTGCGAAGGCAGCAGGCATTCCAAAGGTGCAATACCAACGACATCGGGCCTTCTTGCGCGATGTCCGGCCAATTAGCGTGAACTCCAAGACCAGGTACCTGGGCTCAATGGTTGGGACAATTTGGGCGTCGATGTGGTACAGGCTGACGGATGTTGCAAGTCTGGAATTGGCCTGGTGCCTGCGCCAACAGGTCCACTATCCTAACTATGGCCGGAGCCTCATGTTCTGCAGAAGCCGAGCGCAGTCCTAAACATCGTTCGAAAATCTGTGGTGGAGGCTTTCTCTGTTGCACAGATCAGCGGACTGCTCTGGTGCCGCCCCAGATTGGGAAGCTGTTATTGAAATAGCTCTTTTGTCAGAGCCAGCAGGACGAGTCCAAAGGTTTGCAGTTTACAATCCGCGGGAACGGCATTTACATGTCCTTTGAGCAGTTCCTCCTGGTTCTCTCAGCAACTCCTGTGCCGTGTCAAGGCCGTTCCCATCTTGTATCGCCAAGAGATGCCCTAGTCACTAGTCAGGGTCTGTAAACTGTAAACTCGTCGCTTCTGGGACAAAGAACGGCAAGCCGTAGAATCCTTTGCCACGCAATCGCCTGTTGCAGGGCAGGGCCTGACCTGCCATATGGCATAGTCTGTATACTAGTAGTATTGCAGTAGTCGACGAGAGCTGCCATTTCTTCAATGGCTCTTTCGAGTGGGAGGCGAAGCCTTGAACCCCAAACTCAAGGAAGTCTCAGAGCCATAACACCTGCTGCTTTCTACTCGCCATGGCAGGTTCTTTGTTTCCTACATACCAGGCGGCTCTTATTCGAGCCTTGGCTGTCGTGACCCTGCCCGGGACGGGCCGTGTTTTGCCACGAACTGGCTTTCGGCTGATTGCACGTCTGAGGATGGGACTCGTCTGTGACTTCTTGAAGGGTGCTGTAAGGCAGGGTGCTGGACGATTGCGAGACTGTGCTTGTAGTCGAACCCACCTGAACTACAATTCACATGGTTTGCCGGAGGCATGTTTGCTGTGGTCAGTGCGCAAACAAAGGAAGCCTGGGTCTCAGCTTATAGTAGTTTTGCACAACTTCGACGGGATGTGAAAATGGAAAAGCTGTTCCTGCAAGCAGCTTTCAGTGTGTTCCACAGATGCTCACTCAGGCTTGCCGCTTTAGAGTCGGATGATGTCTGCTCTCATCCGAAAAGGCTGCTTCCGGTCAATACTGTAAGCCAGGATACATGTCCTACTTCATCAAGTCCGTCCGAGTGCCCTCCACATACACACATAGATTTGCATTGAGGTGCGTCTGCGGTGTTTGCCTGTACTCGTACCTAATTAATCACGATCACACGGCAGTTTCCCCCATGACCGCATGGTTCTTTCGTGTTCTCTCTCGCTTGAAACGGAAGTTGCTTGCTTGCTTCACTGTGCAGCTGTCCCACAGGCAGAGCCGCATGAAGGTAGTGTTGAACAGGACTAACATCCCCTGAAGCAGAATCGTCCTTGCTGAGGAGGAACTGGTGTCATTGCCGAGATCGCCTAGTCGGGTGGAGGAACGATAAACATTTGCTGCATAGTCTGACAGCCTCACTGAAGACTTTCTGCAAACATAGTGTGTAAATAGGTCAACTCAGGGTTGGCTTGCATCGAACATAAGCCCCATAGGCTAACTCGTGGCATCCCTTGCTGATTCTCGCATCAAGTCATGGCTGGCCATGGCTACTTGGCTGCTGGCCTTCTTTCGTGACTCGACTGCTCCACGTGTGCTGCTATTGCAGACGGATTCGTCCACACTATATCGAACGACACATTTTGTGGTCAAGTTCAAAAGCGTTGAATCTGCTGACCTTTTATTGAGGGGGTTCTTGGTGCATGTTGTAGTTGGCTGACAGCTTTCGTTCCTCAACACGAGGCTTTTGCCGGGCGTGATGCTGGCAGCATACGTTGCTGTAGCTGCAAGAAGGCAGATTATCCAGGGCGCAGAAGGACTTTCGGTTTCGTTGGCAAAGGCCGAGAACCGTAGGTCAGATTATGATGCGGGCAACAATCTGATGGACCGATCAAAAAAAGAGCATTGCTTTTGAATTTTCTTGTGCTGCCAAAGGTTGCACTCGAAAGCACCAAGCTTGAAGTGTGACCATCCAAGGTTGGAACGAGCAAAGTATTCCGCAAGGCCTCGAAGGAAGTCTGTCTTTGTTAACTGTGGTGCAACTGTGTAGCCACTGTTGAAACATACAGTGCGACTCTGTTTGTTGAAGCTGTTGCCATGTCATACGGACGGAGTCGTCTTGTCTGAGCTGGTGTTGTAGAGGCGGATTCAATAGTTGCACTCTGGCATTTTAGCAGAGTGCCAAAACGGCGCAACATGTCGCTAGCAGATTCCCATTCCAGTATGTCACTTGCATGCACGCGGATGGTTTTGAGAACCAGCAGCTGGACAGCCTCGCTTTCTTAAGCGTCAACTTTCCTTGCACGCAGGGAATGTCTCCAAGTGAAGCGTGGTTGTGTTGGAGTGCCATGGCAAGGCACTTATCTGCAAAGATCCAGCCATCGAGACTCCTAAAGTCCACCGTGCAGTAGGACCCCATAGGACCAGTGGGAAGTGGCAATCACTTATCATTCACCACTCGTTCACCGTCATGCATCATGCTGCGCTCAGTTGGCTTCTATCTCCTTGCCCCTGACTTGCGGTTTCGTGGGCCGTCACAAACGGAGGCCCGCTTTCGTCCCGGGCGTCTTGCTGCATCCTGATTTCAAGTACTTGCTGCAAAGGGCATGAAAACCATATCTGCCGACTTCCTGTTTCGTGCGGGCTGATATGGGAAGACCGGCCAACATGCCGTGGTATACTGTGCAGGTCGTCGCTGCTGGCCGAGTTTGACACCACTAACCTGCTGGATGCAAGCAGCAGGACATGTGGGAGTTTGAGATAGCAGAGCCAAATCTGTGATCCGGGCGTGCATCCGGGAGCCCAAGAGAGGCCACTGTCTCTTGTTGGTCTCGTCTGCGGATTTTCAAAGCTGTTGCAGTTCTAGTCCAGGTGGAGCAGCGCTGAGCTAGAGCTGTTGCAGTCTGCCGATGCAGGAGTGACTGGGGCTTTTGGATTGTGCAGCTCCATATGCCGCGGCCTACAGGTCATGGGGAGTTCCCCATAGTTCCACGAGTTTCAGTGGATTGGAAGTTGAAACGTCATGCCGTGGCATGCCGTGGCAGATTCTCGTTCGCCGCACTGAGTCGGGTGTACTTGGTGGTGCTGATTTGCAGTGTGAAGCTTGACACATCAGCAGCCTCTGTTGGCCACGGACATACTTCCTCTCTGCATGTGGGCACTGAGCCACAAGATTTGCGCTGGCCTCGACCTGCTCTGCCGCCTTCTGCCAAGCCGTTCCGGCAAGGGATTGAAGCGCACCAGTACAATGACGCCCCGTGGAGACCAGCAGACATTGTCACCCAAAGCCCGTTTAGCATGGGTTGAGGAACCAATGACGGCACTCGGAATTAGTTCACACCCCGATATGCTCATCTCAGACATGTGGAATTGTTGAACCGTTCCCAACTTCAGATGTCAGCGAACTGCATTCGAGTTCACCCAAAATGCCTTGAAGCGGATACGGAGCAGCGAGAAGCAGACGGCTGCGGTCGGCCATTCAAGGATGGCCGAGCAGCATCCTCGGAGCGGGATCCCTCAACTCGACCGGGGCTGTTTCATGTCACTGTGGAGTTCCAGCATGCTGCTAGGATTGGATGAGAGTCTAGCAGGAGACTGACCGGAATCGGCAGAGTTTGAGGAAGTTTGGTTAGTCGTGGAGAGGTGTGGGTTCTCGGATCCTGTTAATACTATAATACTGCACACATCTTCGCTCGATGAGTGTCTGAGCGGCTCTCAAGGACCGATGAGAAGCAGCGGCTAAAAGCGGAGATCCGCAAGCTGGAGGTCTCTTGCCCTGTTCCGTCAGGTTGTGCTACTGAGCACGAAAGACATGGCTAGCACTGTCGCTTGCACAGGAAGCTCTGGCAAAGCTGGACGGTGAGAACCGCCGCTTGCTGGATCGAAATGATGCTTGGCAGCAGACTGCCAGGAGCCGTTCGAATCCCGTTTACCTGCAGTAGGTTCAAGCTTTGTATTGCTGTGCGCAGGGTGTTGTCTGCAATGCCCGGCGTCTGCGCATCACATCAGATGAGCTCAGGAAGAGCTACAACTCGCCTACGACGAGGCAGACCGCGATGCCCGTGAGGCAGAGGCCAGTCGCGGGCAGTCCAACCACACGAGAATGACTCGCGTCTTTGCCTTGCTAAGCGAACGGTGGCCCATCGTTTGAAGAGTGCCGCACGATGGTTTCGAATCCCAAACTGTCCAAGAATTCCTTGCAAGTGCAGGCGTTGCTCAATTGCCTAAGCGATCAGCGAAGCTGGTGTACAGGCTGTGAAGCATTGATGAATGCGTCGCGTTGGATCCTTTTGATGTATCTTGCCACCGATCCAGCACCGTGCATGGTCTGACTTCAACCAGTTACTTCGTACTTGCGATCGCACTATCACCCTGTATGTGTACAACATAACTGAAAACGCAGATATTCTATCCGCCCTGCAAGCTGTCCCAAAGCCTCCCTGAAAGGCCATGAATGGGCACCTTCTGCGGCGAGTCGAAGAAATGGAGGCACATGTCTGGCTTGAGCTCCGTCTTCCAAGCCCGAGTTTGAGAGTGACCAGATGCTGTAGTGACTGCAGTGACTGTTGGTCAGCACGCGGCTTTGGAATCAACTCGCAAACTCGAGAGCCCACACAGGTGCAGATCGCCGCGTTGAGACAGTACGAGGCACGTGCTGTGAAAGCCCTGAGAAGGTTTCGGATATTTTTCAGCGCGGAGAGCCCCAGACCGTCAGCTTCATTCTCATGCTCTTATCAAGTTGCAAGGCGGAATTTGACAAGCGGGTCACCTCCATGCTGGATGAGAGAGACGAGGCCGGGCTGGCATACGCCAGCGTGCCGTGCAGAATTCGTGCAGCTCAGCGTCTGGAGTGTTAGTGCGCCCCAGCTGGGGCAAGATGTAAACTTGTGACAGGAATGTAAGCGACGCATCCTCACCTCGTAGAGCTCCGTTGAACGACATACTTTGCTTACTCGTGATCTACCGTCTGGAAGCATCCTATCTCAGGCTCCCGAACAGTAAGCACATCGCGCAACATGTATCCAGGGGGAGCCTGAAGCAAACGCTCAGGCGCTGGCTTCTGCCACTCGCGACAAGGAGGCGATCCTACTGAAGGCCTGCAGCTCTGAGCCAGAGGATCCAGAGGGGTGCCTCGAAATTTACGAGCAGCGCAACATCAGGTAGTTACATGGACGCTGCGCCATACTTGAGAACCCTGAAATCACATTGTCATGCTGCCAAATGACAACACTCGGGTAAGCGGTAAGTTGAAACATGGTGAAATGGCACGTGCTTCCTTGTAGCAGCATGGAATCTCATGAGCTCGTGCTTTCGTCCTGAACTCTGTGAGGCACAAGTGTTCTCACATGCATGTACTTGCAGCAACCATTGTCTCCTGTTGCATAGGGGTGCGTGTAGTCTGCACCTCATGAGCACATCTGGAGTTTATGGCGTTCACTGCAAACCTCGGCTTTCTCTCTCGTTCTCTCTCTCTCTGTCTCTCTCTTCACCTTCATCTCTCGGTCGCCCACTCACTCCTAGAACGTTCCCTGTCACGACCGCATTGTGCTCTGCTCGCACGATCCTCGAGGTCAAGGAGCTACAGGAGGAGCTCGCGCTCGCGAGGCGCAGCGTCCCCGGCGAGGCTGCAGATGCGGCCGAGTTGGCGCTGATGCTCAAGGCACGTTAATCAAGGCATGTTCGAATTGGCATCCAGGAAAACACGGAGGGGAGTCCGACTGGGCCTGGCCTGGACCAGTCGGGGCAACAGGGTTTTGGGTTTCAAGGTATAGTGGCAGATATATTCAGGGGTTCGAATTTGCAAGAATGGGCCAGATCAGTAAGTCCTGCCGTCACTGTTGTCGAGGAATGCTCACTGCAATCGACAGGACAAAAATCAGCATACGATGCGGGCCTAATGACCTCAGAATATGAACCTAGCGACTTATGATTACAATGGCCAAGGCCTGTCCTTGCTGTTTTTAGCCCGGTCCGGGTTTGTCAGCCTGGGTCGTCTCTTCAAGGAAGGGAGAACCTTTCAGAGCTCAAACGCGCCGGCGCGCATCCCTTTTTGTCCAGGAGCGGCAGCTGGAAATCGAAGACCTCCTGGACGCTTGGATGGCGTGGCATTTCGGGTGTAGTAACTGTGTGTCCAAAAGACTGCAGGCTCCTATCTACAGGTTTGGGCAAGGGCAGTTGTTACTTGTGGTGGGTCAATCGGCAGGATTGCTTGTGGGGCGCACCTTCCAAGGTGCACGCGCCATTTGTGTTGAAGGTGCATTCGCCGTTTGTGTGAAGGTGCACGCAAGGTCGCCGATCCCCGTGACTGTTGACACTTTTGAGACACAAGGACCCACAAGAAGTCCAAAAGCAACGACAGTTCTGCATCTCGCAACCAGGACCTCCCCGATCCCTGTGACTGTTGACACTTTTGAGACACGACGACCCCAAAAAAGGTCCGAAAGTGACACGACCAGGACCTCACCGATCCCTGTGACTGTTGGCGCTTTGAGACACGACGACCTAAAGAAAGAAGTGACGACCGTTCTGCATTTTGCGACCAGGACCTCTGCGATCCCCGTGAATGCTGACACTTTTGAGTAAACCCAGACCGAAACCCTGAAAGGACCAACAGACCGAAACCCCGGACCGAAGCCCAAAAAGAGTAAACCCCTAAAAGGACGAAACCCAGACCTGAACCCAAAAAGGGGTAAACGAACCCCGAGACCCCAAGAGGACAAAACCCAGGCCGAGGCCCTCAAAGGATGCCGAAAAGGAGTAAGTGGACACCGAAACCCTAAAAAGAATAAACCCAGGCCGAAGCCCCAAAGGAGTAAACCCAGGCCGAAGCCCTAAAAGCACGTAACCCAGGCCGAAACCCTAAAAGGACTAAACCCAGACCGAAACCCTACAAGGAGTAGACCCAGGCCGAAACCTTAAAAGGAATAAACCCAGACCGAAACCCTGCAAGGAGTAAACCCAGGCCGAAGCCAGAAAATGAGTGAACCCAGACCGAAACCCCAAAAGGAGTAAACCCAGGCCGAAGCCTT